TCCAGCCTGCCTGGGGGCCACGGCGCAGCCCCAACACCAGCTGGGCAGAGAGTCAGTCAGTGGACGACAGGTGAGGAGAGCTGGGGTTCCGCCACTCCCATCCTGGCTGAAATCCAGGGCCGTGAAAAGGAAGGAAATCCTGACACCAAACCTTCAGGACATTACACTAAGTGAAATAAGCCAGTCACGAAAAGACAAATACTGGATGATTCCACTTATACGAGGTCCCTAGAATTGTGGGGTCCCTAGAGACAGAAGGGTGGGCGCCAGGGGCTGGGGAGGGGAATGGGAGTTAGTGTTTAATGGGGACAGAGTCTCAGTTTTGCAAAATGAAAAGAGTTTTGAAGACTGGACGTACAACAATGCGAATGTAAATTTTACGTTATATGTATTTTGCTATAAGTAAAAATTAAAAAATAAAAAGATGCTGGAATCCTGGGATCTTTCAGAGATGGCAAGAATGTTAGCGGTGATTCAGCACCAGGTTTAGGGACTTCTGGATTCTGTCTTGGAGGTAGAGAGACAATACTCTAAAACATGGGAAACCCCAGGTAGGCCCCAGCTCTGTGTCGGGGGCTAGCAGACAAGGATAAGAAAGATGGGGTCCCTGACTCTGGCAGAGGGCAGATCCACAAACTGAAGGCCCAGTAACAAAACCTCTATCCCCCCTCCTTTTAAAAATAATTCGAAGTCTCCCTTCCACTGTATGGATACACGGCACTTTGTTATCCGTCCATCCGTCGATGGACACTTGAGTTGCTTCCACCTTTGGGCCACTGTGAATAACGCTGCTATGCACATGCGTACACGTGTATCTCTTTGAGACCTTGCTTTCAAGTCCTTGGGGTGCACCCCCAGAAGTGGGGATTGCTGGATCATATGAGAATTCTGTTCCAATTTTTTGAGGAACCTCCATACTGTTTTCCAGAGCAGCCAAACCATTTTCCATTCCCACCAGCAGTGCACAAGGGTTCCAACTTCACATCCTCGCCAGCGCCCGCTGTCTCCTGTTTTCCGATGCAGCACCCTGACGGGTGTGCGGTGCCACAGCTCCTTCCACGGAAGTCGGCATAGAGAAACGGGGATGAAACTGTGTCTGCAGAGGCTTCCCGGGGCAGGGAGACTGCTCTGTGTGACACTGGAATGGTGGACACGTCAGAAATGTGTCCAGACCCACAGAACGTACAACTCCGAGAGTGAACCTAACGTAAACTGTAATCTCTGCGTGACACGATGTGTCGGTGTAGTTTCATCGATTGTAACAAACGACCCCTCTGGCGGAGGATGTTGACAGTCGGGGAGGCTGTGCAGGTGTGGGGCAGGGGGCACACGAGAAATATGCGTGCCTTCTCCGCAATTTTGCCATGAACCCAAAACTGCTCTAAAAAGTAAAGTCTTTTTTTTGAATGTGCCCTCCATGAGTCAGGCAGACTGAGGAGGAGAGGAAAGCAAGAATGGGGCAGAGAAGGTGGTGTTCCTCAACCTCACGGTCCAAGGGCCTGGCTCTACAGATGATTTACCTACAGGCATAGACAAGCACCACATGTCTGGGGGCACTTAGTCAAATCCTGGAGGTGGGCCCCCAAAAGCCGATGTCCACATCCTGGTTCCCAGAACCTGTGAATGTGACCTTAATTGGAAAAAAGGTCTTTGCGGATGTAATTAAGGATCTCAGACAAAATCATCCCAGAGTATCTGGGTGGGCCCTAAATCCAATGACGAGTTCTTATAAGAGACCGAAGAGGAGAGACACAGAGAGAAGAGGAGAGGCCATGTGACCACAGAGGCAGAGACTGGAGGGCTGGGCCACAAGCCCCGGGATGCCTGGAGCCCCAGGCGTGCACCCCGCAGAGGCCAGATTCCTGGAGGAAGGGCCAGGCTCTGAGAGGGCCGACTCCCTCCGCTGGCCCAGGACCTGTCCCCATCAGCTTGCTGTCACCAAAGCCATTATCACAGTTAGGAGCTGGCCCTGGGCTCTTCTGGGGCAGAGGGGGCAACCAACGAGTCAGCCCTGGTCCCTCATTCAGGGAGCCAAGCTGCCTCCCCTCTTTCTCCCCTCCCTCATTCATTCATTCACTCACTCGTTCATTTCTCTCTCCATAAACATGTCTGCTGCCTCCCACGAATCTAGATATGGATACAGTATAGAGTGTCCTTCAGGGGCCCACAGCCCGGCGCGGGGGCAGCAGACCCACAACTCATAATCAGAGAGACGGTGACAAGCAGTCCAGCAGGAGAATCACAGGCGGGACCCTCAGAGGTTCCCGCTCCGCCTGGGGCGATGGGGAAAGCTCCCCAGCTCAGGGCCCTAGGGGCTGGCCCTTAACAGAGAGGCGGCCTTCCTAGAGGGCAGAGAAGGTTTATGAAGGAGACAGTGGCTCTGAGGAAGGACAGAGACACAGGGGCACCAGGTGACAATGACGCTGGGGGATCCGCGGGGCCAGGCGCACAGGTCCTGGAAGCCTTGCCCTGTTTTATCCTCCAAGTGATGGAAGCTGGAGATGGATGGGGGCAGGCTCACTTTTACGAAACTGTGGTGGAAACTGAAATATTTTTCTAGAAAGATCCAGAAGGTCTGATGCTGGCAAATTTAGAGGCTGCATCACTGGGGGGGCTGCAATGCTGCAGCAGGTGGGCCTCCTCCTGCTCCTTCTCTCTCTCTCTCTCTCCCCCCCACCAGTTCCGGCTCCATCTTCCCCTTGTGCCCTGACAGTCAAGCCCGCTGAGCCCAGGACACAGGCTTCGGTCTCTACAGGCATGTCAACTGCAGGGCCGCCCCCAGCGTAGCACAGACCTGCTCTTCAAAACCAACCACCATCCAGAGTCCACTCACCAGCCCTCCTACCCACTCCTGTTCCAGAGTCAGAAAGAAGGTGGCCCCCAGCTCCCGGCAGCCCCCCATACACACGGAGGCCCTGCTCCCTGCACCCCAGGAGGGAGGCCCGAGGCGAGGGGAGAGGCTGAGGGAGGCGAGCGCCCTGTGTCCCAGGAGAGTACCACTAACCCACAGCACATAATCCTGTTAAAATATTAATCCTCATTTAGCCGGGAGGCGAGGTGGCCACTGAGATAAAGCCCCTGAGAAGTAATAAAAGGCACAGTGATTGATAAAGTGGATCTCGTGCTAATAAAACCCTGCTGTCACGAAGGGCGGGTCAGGCCCCAGTAATCGGGAACAGCCATCAGCAGGCAGGTCCCAGCCTCAGCGGGCAGGCGTGACCGCCCCCCAGGGCACTGAAGGGTGCTCGTGGTGGAGTCTGCTAATCTCTCCAGGAGAGGGAGGAGGAGCTGAGAGAAGGAGCTTCCTCCAGCACCGCTGCACCTCCTTGGCCCTTGGGGAAGGAATCGCCATCCTTAGGCCATTGTCTCCCTCCTAGGGAACACCGCCATGGTCCCAAAGATTGTGGCCCTCCTGGCAGCAAATTCAATGAGCCAAGGCCTGTCTGCATGTGGCCCCTGGTGGCCTCCCACTGCTCCCCAGACACTTGTCCTAGGCTGGACAGCTGAGGCCCCCCAGGAACATGAGGATGAAGCACCCCTTCCAAGCCAGGGATTCATGTGGGCCTCCTCCCAAGATGGCAGACACAACAAGAGCCGGCACCCTGGACTCTGACTGTTTTGAGAGGGGTCGTCCGCCATGTCCCCAAGTAAAACTGCTCTTTGTTCAGTTCCCTCCTGATGGCGACCTTCTGCTCCAGCTAAGGGCATGACCAGGCTGCTCTTCATTTCAGCATCCCCAAAAGCAGAGTGCGCTGGCAACACCCCTTCCCCCTGAAGGGCACAGACTGGCCGTTGGGAGAGACCCATCTAGACGCAACTTTGCCCATCACTACGGGAGGGTGGACTCCTGACCTCCGTGACTCCTCCAATAGAGGGGCCGGCCCACGGCTAGAGGGCCCCCACCCCCATGCCCACGTGCCTCCCCAGGGCCTTCGGGGCTCCCCGGCAGGTGGCACCAGCCCACGGCTGCACTGGGGCCAGAGAGGGAGAGAGGGACTCCCGCTGTTAAGACATCACTCCAACTGCCGCCTAGAGATGAAGGAGAAGCAAGGAGATGGGTCAGGAGGCCACTGCACTGGTCCAGACCCAGCAAATTTCACCCACGTATTCTTCCATTCACCATTCGAGACTCACTTATTAAACGCCTACTGTGTGCCGGGCACTGTGCCAGGAGATGGGGATAAAGTGTCGCCCAGATTCTAGTATGGGAGACACAGAAACAAGCGCAATGTGATTCATTCACGCCAGGTGATGAAGGAGAAACAGGTGGCACTGGCCCGTGAGGCTGACCTTACGGGGGACAATGCCGCCAGCAGAGACCGGGCACAGAGCTGGGCAGGCCGGTTCCTCCCATGAGCCCCAGGCATGGCCAGCGGCACAGGGTGATTTCCACCCGTCCACCTGTCAAAGCCACCCCATCCCCAGGCCAAGGAGGCCTCTGGGTCAGGTCCTGCAGGACGCCAAGGACCCTCTGAGCAAGAAAAGCAGCCAGTAAACAACCGCATGCTTCCCTGTACATCCTCTAGGAGCGGCCCACCGTGGGTGTGGGTTTGCCCACAAACGCTGCACCCGGAGGAGCACGGCAGCCCTGTCTCTAATCTGAGCATCCCCCTGGCTCAGCTGGGGACCCCTGGGCTTCAAGAAGAGCTGGGATGACAAGTTTAAAAATGTTTTTCCAATACCCCCTTAGCAAGGGGCACACCGAGCACCCGGCTCTTGGTCTCTAATGTCACCCCCCCCCATGAAAGCAGCCATGGCTTCCTGAGAAACGCCTGATTCCAGGACTGGCGTAGGCAACACCTGGCATAGGCAACACCTGGGGCAAGCCCGCAGCATCCCCTAGCGCCGGAAAGCTGGGAAACGAGACGATGGGGAGGTCAAAGGGACACCGCGGCCAACTGAAAGAGGTCCCAGTGGCCAAGGCCGGAACAATTTGAGGAACAAAATAAATGAAGTAGCGTTGGGTTATGATGCAAAGTGTAAAAATAAATACCCATGAGTCCATAGTGATGTGAATTATTGCACAAATTAATAAACAGGAAGAAGAGACAAATCTCCTGCATAAGATTCCAGATAATCTGTGTGGCTCCTCCCAAGGAAGTGGCACACGACCCCCGCTCCTTAAGTGCGGACAGCACACGGTGACCTTCCCTCCAAAGGGGGAGTGTGGAAAAGGAGAGCGGGAGAGTCTCCTGCCGGAGGAGACAGCTGGCAGACACTGTCTGGGCGGGTGACCAAGGTCAACATCGGCAGTGATAAGCATGTCGACAGCATGTACCCTTGATATGACGTCATGAGAAGGGCACTCAATCTCTGTGCTCTTCCTCCCAAAAATCCATAACCCTAGTCTAGTCAAGAGAAAAACATCAGATAAACCCCAATTGAGGGACATTCCTCAAAATGCTGGCCAAGCGCTCCTCAAAATGGTCAGTCATCAAAAGCAAGGGAAGTCCAAGAAACTGTCACATCCAAGAGGGACGTCAGGAGATGCGATGACTCCATAGAATGTGGGATCCCGGAACAGAGAAAGGACACCGGGCAAGCACTCAGGAAGACTGAATCAAATATGGACGTGAGTAATAATGACTTAGCAGTCTTGGCTCATTGACTGTGCAGACACGCCCGGTAGTGGAAGACGTCAATAACGGGGAAACTGGGCGTGGGAGACATGCGAACGCTCCACCATCTTCGCAATTTTTCTGTAATCCTAAATTGCTGTAAAATAAAAAGTTGATTCAAAAAAATGTTTTGTCTAACCAGACAGTACGATAGATATTTGCATAAAATTTCCCTCTAAATTTATTCATCCAACAAATACGCGTTGAGCGCCAACTCTGGGCTGGCGATGTGCCAGGCTCTGAGGACACAGCCATGCAACCTGCGGCAGCCCTGCCTCCAGGAAGCCTCCAGTCTATCGTGCACCTGAGGAACGACCAGCACGCAAGAGAGTGGAGAAAGTCACGAATGACAAATATAAATGATAAAAGTCTATGAAAAAATATATTCCCAAAGTATATATTCAAAAGTACATACACTGCGAAATACATAAAGAACTGATAAAGCCGGAAGATTAGACGACCATTCTGACCACCTGATCAGCGTTCAGGGACGATGGACAGTCTGCATGTGGGAAGAGGAGATGAGAAACTGTGACGTGGAGCCTCTCCCAGCCTCTCGGGCTTGATACCTTAAGACATCGCTACACACCTATTACGTCACCCAAAAGAAATTAAAAAATAAAACCCAGTGAAGATAGTCAGAGAGAAGTGATAGCAGGTCAACTCACGGCGGGCGGTACCAGCAAGTAACAGCTTCAGCCCCTCCTGACAGCAGCCTGACTGTAAGAACCAGGCAGCCTTTCTATCCCTTAACCAGTAACCCCTCTCTACTGTAGCCCAAGGCAATAATGTGAGTGTAATGAAAAGAAAAAAGTCAGGGATACCAAGATATTCACAGCTGCACTAGTTTTTAAAGAAAAAGTCAACAGCCCCCAAACCCAACAACTGGGGGATCCTACACGCCTGGTAAACCAATGACATCTACAAGTGGTTCAAAGTTGGGGTTCTGGAGCCTGGGTTCAAGTCTCAGCTCCCCCACTCACTGAGTGACCTTAAACATCTGCCTCAGTTTCCCCACACGAAAATTGAGGATATTACTAACTCCTACCTTCAAGAACGACCTCAAAGCTTGAACGAGATCGTGGATAAAGCCCAGTGCCTGGTCTAGGGAAATGCGCTGTTGCTGTCAGCTACAGGCAACTCTCACACACTCTTCTCGTTGAAGCGCCCTAGGGGACCAGGGAAGAAGATGGAAACGATGGGGGGTGAGCTAAGGAGCTCCCTGCGACAAAATGTGAGGCACAGAGCCCAAAAAAGGGGGGAGGGGTTACCCCAAGCCTGGCTGAGATGTCCTGAGAAGGACTTGCCATCTCCAGGCCAGACCCAGGCAGGCGGAAGAGTGGGAGCTGGACCCGGCATTTCCACACCCCCGACGGGGCCAGCAGGAGAAAACGCAGAGGGAGAACACAATCAGCGACTCCTCCCTCACCGGAACCCTCACCCACCCGCCAGCAAGACCAGTCCCGGCCCCAAGCAAACCCCGGGGCTGTGCCCCCCGCCCCGCCTGGGCCGCGCCCCTGGACGACTGCGTGCCCCGCGCCTGTTCCCACCTCCCCTCCCGCCCACGCGGCAGCCGGCACATCCTGTCACCCCCAGCTTAACCCAGCAGTGCCTCCCAGGGCCGTTACTCTATTATCGCCTTAGATTAGGTCCCGCTGAGAGTGACCGAAAACCCAAATAACGCAAACAGAAGCAAGGCAGTGCGCCTAATTCTCCCCGCCAAGGACACAGTGGGGGTTGAGCCGTCCGGGGCGCTCTCGGGGCCCAGGGTCCTTCCGCCCACACCCGCCCTCCGATGGGGAGAGCCCCGAGCTTGAGGCATCAAGGGGAGGAAGACAAAAAAGAAGACGGCAGAGCTGGCCGTGGGAAGAGGCTGGGGCTGTCACATGAAGTTTTCCTTTCGTCCCATTGGCCAGTACATAGTCACATGGTCAAACCTCGCTGCAGGGAATGCTGGGAAATGTAGTCTTCATTCTTGGCGGCCATTTTGTTTTGGGAACGGGTTTTAGGAGACAACTAGCTTAAAATCCGGACTCGTCCGTGGCCGCCTAGTAGCCTCGATGTCGAGCACGCCCCCTGCACCCCACTGCCCTCGGGACCCCAGCACTTCCTCACTGTCCTCCTGTCTGAACCCATCCTAGGTGTCCTGTGATGCCAGACCCTCGCGGTCCCGCCCCAACACTAGTGTGAATGCCGACCGCTCTTCTCCCAAGGCACCTGCGCTTGTCCCCGCGGCATGCGCCACAATCGGTGCCCGCTCACACTCAGGAATGTGGCTCACTCGCCGCAGCTCCGAGGGAAGGCGCCGCGCCGCTGGTCTCCTTGCACCCCAGCTCCGCCCGAAGCCGCACGTGCAGGCCCCGCACGTGGCTGCTTGTAGGAATCCACGGCTCTCGGACTTCAGCTGCAGGAGAATCACGAAGGACGGTAGCCGTGCGTGGATGCCTCCCCAGGGTGCGTTCCAGTGGGTTTGGGGGGGGGGGGGGCCAGAATCTGCACCCGAATTCCCCGGGTCACAGACACATTGGGATGCCATGCGAGCCCGCGGGGAATGAAGGGTGAGAGTATCTGTGGCCACAGCCGCGCAGATGCCATAAGCAGGAGCACCGAAGACAAGTTGGTAGCTGAACACAACTTAAATCGGGACACACCACCTACCTGACACCTCCAACCGGGGTACCCCAAGTGGAATGCTTGATTTCCCTGCTCCCGGGCCACATCCCCTCTGACCTCCAGTGGTGTGGGACACCGTCACCCACAGCTGCACAGGCCAGAAACCCTGCAGCAAGTCCTTTCAGCAAAACCTCCAAACTCGCTCTGTATCTGTCACCCCCACAGCCACCATCCTAGTTGGAGCCAACACCGTCGCCTGCCAGATACAAGCTGTCACATCCCTGCAAAGCATCCAACACCCATTCCTTCCTCAATAACCATCCTCAGCCTGCAAATGGAGTGGCGATTTTTGAAGCTAGATCAGTGGACGGCATTCCCTTGGGTCAAACCCTCCCACGGCTCCCCCTGCACAGGGTAGGAATGCCAGATTCCACCCCATAGCCCCCCAGGCCCCACACCAGGCCCACGCCCCTGGCTCTCCACCCCCAGGGTCACTCCCTGGACGTCACCCTCTCAGGAGGCCCTCATTGCCCCCACCCTGAGCCAGGCTCCATCTCGGCTCCCTGCTTCATTTCTTCCTGGCAACTCTCATTACTCTACTGTCTTACTTGCTTATTCATTTTATTTTCTGTATCCTCAACCAGAGTGGAGGAACCCAGGAACACTGTCGTCTCTTCACTCCACTGCTGTGTCCAGAACCTAGAATGGTGCCTGGCACACAGAACACACTTCACAGGTACCGAGAGAGACAGGGCCAGAGAGAGAGAGAGAGACACAGGGCTGGAGATGAAAGAGACAGGGCTGGAGAGAGAGAGAGAGAGACAGGGCTGGAGAGAGAGAGACACAGGGCTGGAGATGAAAGAGACAGGGCTGGAGAGAGAGAGAGACAGGGCTGGAAAGAGAGAGAGACATTGCTAGAGAGAGAGAGACAGGGCCAGAGAGAAAGAGACAGGGCTAGAGAGAGAGAGAGCTGGCGAGAGAGAGAGAGACAGGGCTAGAGAGAGAGAGAGAGAGGGCTGGAGAGAGGCAGACAGGGCTGGAAAGAGAAAGAGATGGACACACTGAGCTCAGGAATCCGTCCCCCACCCTCCCCCACTCTGTGAACATGAGGTAACAAGGGAGCACCTCTCTGACCGCCCCAGGGACCAAGTCCATCAGACGGGCCGCCCACACTTGTCCTCTCTGAGGTCCTGGGGCCTGAGAATGAGGGCAGGGCGGCACTCCCCTGGCCAGCAGGGTGGCGCTTTGCCCGCCCCGGCCCAGGGCCCCTTAGCACAGGTGAGGAGGGAAGGAGGTGCTGGCCAAGGCCGGGGCTCCCTGTGGACAAGGCCAGCCTTGGGCTGAGCTGCTGGCCCTCAGCTCCCATACGCTGGGAAGCCCACCCCACAGCCCTGAGACCCATGTACCCCTGAGGCCTCCCTGAATTATGGGTGGAGGGGACCCACCCGGGTGCTCTGGGGATCAGAGTGAGCAGGGCTCAGGGACCCAGAGTTGCTACGAGAGTGGGGGTGAGGGGCACAGGCTGTCCTGATGGAGTGGGCCCCCCCGAGCCTCTCTGAGTGCTCTGGGACTGGTCCCCATCCTCCCCTAGGAGGACACACGTGCACGGGGGGAGGCACATTCAGCCCAGAGGGCTCCGGTGGCAATGAAGGTGGACACTGCGTGAGAGCTGGGCCCAGGGTGGTGTGGACACAGGCCACCAGGGCCTCTTTCTGAGACACGGGTGTGTGCACAGTCTCGTTTTCAAAGATGCAAGGGATAAGATCGGCCCGGTGACCCTGGGACTTTGCTCTGCTCGTCGACAGGAGCCAGCAGGGCACTTGTCTGTCTGGAGAAGCCCTCATGAGACGCTCAGCCATCCTCCTCATCGTGGCTCTCGCCACCCTCCTGGCTCCGGGGGCTGGGGCACCCGTGCGTGGGCAGGGCCCCCGGAACAGGCTACTCCTCGTGTCCTTCGACGGCTTCCGCTGGGACTATGACCAGGACGTGCACACCCCCAACCTGGACGCCATGGCGAGACAGGGGGTGAAAGCTCGCTACATGACCCCGGCCTTCGTCACCCTGACCAGCCCCTGCCACTTCACCCTGGTCACTGGTGAGTGTCGGCCTCTGGGGAGGAGGGGCGGGGTGGTGCCTCGGGGGGGGGGGGGG